GCATCTCCCACCCGGCCAGTGCAACGCGCGATAGGCCAGCAGGCGCGGCCGTCCGCTGATACAGGATCGACGAGGGCCCGTCGCAGGAGCAACGCTACCGGTCGCGGGCAGCCATTCAAGAGGCGTTCTCCCTGTGCTCCTCGCCCCGGTCTCCCTGGGGCACTGCGCTGCCCCTGTTTTCCTGCGCCCTCGCCCTCCGCGCCGAAAACCTGGCCGAACATGAGAAAGCCAACTCCATCCACAACATTGCAGCTGCCGCTGGTGCGCTCCGGGCGCAGGTCAGAGTCGCCCTCGGGGACGAACTCCGAGACCCCGACGGGGGCGCGACCGACCCGCTCGAGGCCCCAGCGCCCACGGATTACGACGTCGAGCAATGTCCAGGCCACGTGCTCCAACGCGCAGTGCCCGGCCCTTCTGCTGAGCACATCGAGGCCACTGCCGTCGGACACAGGCTTCAGCCCGGCCAGACGCGCGCTCCTCTCAACTTCCCGTCTTCGATCGCGCCGCTCATGCACGGCCCGTCAGGGAGCGAGAAGACCAAGACCATTGCGGGGCCGAGACAGGAACTCCACCCTGGGACCCCGTCCTCGTAGACGGCGATAGGGGGCGCCGCAGTCACCTACCACCCCCGCGACTGTCGCAAGGTAGTCGTCCGCAGGCCCCCGTGGCACTCGAGGGAGTAAATCGCCCATGCTGCCTGCCTTCGCCCTTGCACCTGGCCGCAAACGAATCAATGCCGTCTGCCTGCCCCTCGACTGCAGGAAGTGCCTCTTCTCGTGGACAAGGAGTCTGCACCCTGCCATCCTTCGCGTCAGCCCGTCTCCCTGGCAGATCTGCGCGACCGCGAAGACTGGCCCCCCCAGGCGGGTGCCCCTGCCAGTAGCCAGGAGGTCATCCCCGGCGCCGCTGCGCGGCGCCATCGATGGCCTCCCCGCACTCAATTCGCCCAGCACGTGGCGACGGCGAACCTGGAGCGCCCCCGGACAGCGGGCCCCCCCCATGATTGAGATCCGCAAAACGAAGCGACCATGAAGCTGAGGTGCCCCCCAAAGGGGCTCCCCCAGGATTTGCCAGATCACCTGCGCGCCGACTAGGATGCGAAAGTGTAGGGAAGGCGGGCCGCGCTGTGCGGAACCAGCCGGCGTCCTGTCCAAGGGCTGAAACCCTGCGACCCCTCCCCCGAGCCGCGCCCTGAGGCCGACACTCGGCGCACCTGCCGAGCCGCCTGGGCCAAGTGATCGCTGCCAAGGCCCCAGCACTGCCCGACCGGGTTCACCTCCAGGAACTCCCATGCAACCTACTGCTCCGCGTCGCACAGCTCGCTGTATTACGCATCCCAATCGAAACTCTCGTTCAGCACCATCCTCATCGACCGGGTGCCCCCAAGCGTGCCGAGCCCGCTTGGCTGCCGCGGACGCGGATCTGACCGGCTTGTACCCAGCTCGCGCATCATCATCAGAAGGGACGTCACTGCCGCACTCGACAGGGGGAGCATGACCAATCTGATTGAGTACACGAAGCTGCTCTTCCACGGTGAGCACTTCGGTGTCCGTGCTCGCTGCCAGCCACGATGTCCTCTGCCTTGGCTCCCGCGCTCGGGTTGCCTGCTGCGCTCGACCCCTAAGCCCCGCCGACGGCGGTCCCGCCCTGTGCCCGAGCACCTGATCCAGGAATCCGCGAGGCTGCCGAAGAGCTCGACCAGGCCATCCACCGAGATCGACCCACCGCGCAGGAGACCACGCAGCTCATCAGTATCATGGACAGGAATGGGGGGCATCGGGCACAACGACTCCGCGTTCCCTTCCCTGAACTCGATGATGGCCGCCTCCTTCTCCAACGTGACGGCGCGCATGGACGCAGCTTTCCCGGTAAGCTCCTTCGCCTGGCGCCCCGCGACCTCATCAAGCTAGTTCCGCGCCTTTTTCAGCTGCTTCTCCTGCTTGTTGATGCGCTCGTTCCACGACTTAATTTGCGCCTGAATGCTCCTCCAGCAGCTGTACGCGCTTGCGCCAAGACTCCTCGGCGTCATCGTATGACTGCAAGGTTTCCAACTGTTCGTCCACCACCACGAGCATTTCCTTCTCGGAGAGCTCTCTCTTCATGGCGCCGACGCGACGCCGTGGCCTGGCCCGCTAGGTGGGCACGCTGCCCCTTTGGCGCTCGAGCTCCTTGATGTGCGATTTTGCTTTCGCCAGCTGCACCTCCGCGTCCTCCGCGCCACCACCTCCAGCGCGCTGCGACGGCATGCTCGGTGCCAGCTGACCTGCGATCATCGCGGCCTTGGGCAGGTGGCACCACTTGCACAGCAACCTGTCAACGAAGCTGTGCTTCCTGAGGCAGCCTTCGCCGGTTCTCTGCACACCTTGCAGCATCAGGCCGTGCGCGACCCAGCTTTGGCACCAGTCGTACACCCTGCGAAATGCTTAAGAAATCATGGGTTAAGAAATTCATAGTCTCAGAACTTGGATAAAAACCCAACAGTTCTATTAAAATCTTAAGGTTTACATTGGAACATTAAGAATAATCGAGACTCTGGCCGAAAACTTAAGTTTTCTTAAGCATCGCCTAAGGTGTACCGAGGCTGCGAGGGCCATGCAGCTTCCGTTTCCTGCTGCCGCCACTCTCGTCTCCGCCCTGGCCGCCGCTGGACCCAGCCGCCACTGCCGCGGCCCGACCTCGGGCACCCGCGCCAGCAACGCACGGACCCCAGCCAACAGGCTCGCGAGAAGCGAGAAGACTCGACGTCCTCGGCCCACAGCGCGCGAGAGCCCTCGCGCTCGAACAGCGCCCGCGAGGGACTCGCGGTCGTCGGGTGCTTCATGGCGTTGAGCCAACGTGGCAACGGACTCTCTCGTTCCCTCTCCCTGTCTTGCCCTCTCTCCTCCTATCCTTCTTTATTGACTCCTCCTCCTCCTCCTCCTCCTCCTCCTCCTCCTCTTCCCCTTCCATCTGCCGCCCCCTCCCCGCAAGAGACCATCCGGGGAACCTCCGAAAAGTTCGCCGTCGTCGTCAACCTCGTGCCTCCTCACGACTTCTATTGCCTCCCGTCCCCCGCCCTGTGCATCAATCTCCGACAACGGAACGGCTAGTTCGGTCACCCAATCTCGCGCACTGCGCGTCGCGCCCCGCGACTAGCTTCGCGACACCGCGCCGCCCCCACTGGAAAAGGGCGGCCGCCCTGGCCCAGACCACGACGCGCGAAGCGCGACTACCTCCGCGCCCGCGCGGGCTACCCGGGACGACGAGCGGCAAACTCGGCGGGGCGGGGCGGGTGCCCAGGCAACGCCCGTGGGGGGTCACCACCAGGGGGGGGTCGCCGCCTCCTCGAGGGGGGCGGCCCCCGAAGACCCCAAGCGCCCCCCCGGTACCGTCCAGAATATCTGAAGGGGCCCCAGGACACGCAAAGAAATGCACACACACACAAATAGCAGGACTCCCCATACTTTCCCGTGTTTTCTGGGCTGTCGTCTTCCCCCCCACTGCCCATATTTTCCCATATCTTCCTGGCAGTCGACGATCAATTGTGTCTGTGTGTGTTTTTGTTCCCCCTCCTGACAACTCCCCCCTGAATGGTGACCCCCCCGTGGCAGTGCTGGGGAGGTCGCCGACCCTCGGCTGCCCCCCCAGGCGCAGGGCCATCCCACCAGGAGGGCGAGGAGCAGGCCGGGGAGGCCGAGAAGGCGGAGGACACGGAGGGAGGACGAGGGGGGCGAGGAAGGAAGGGGGTAGATGGGCGAGGGAGGAGATGGGCGAGGGAGGAGATGGGCGGGGAGAAGATGGGCGAGGGAGGAGATGGGCGGGGAAGGAAGAGGGGGGACGAAGGGGGCGAGGAAGAGGACGCAGAGACACAGGGGAGAGACCTCGGGCCCCCCTTTTGCTGAGCCCAGACTGGCGAATCAATCAGCAGAGCAGCTGGCGAACGATTGTGACTCAGGTGGGTCGGCTCTTCATGAGCCTCCTCCCCCTCCTCCTCCTCCTCCTCCTCCTCCTCCTCCTCCTCCTCCTCCTCCTCCTCCTCCTCCTCCTCCTCATCCTACTCCTCCTCCTCCTCCTCTGTCCTCCTCCTCCTCCTCTGTTTCCTCCTCATCCCTCGTCCTCCTCCTCCTCCTCATCCCTCGTCCTCCTCCTCCTCCTCCTCCTCCTCCTCCTCCTCCTCCTCCTCCTAGGTGGGTCGGCTCTTCATGAGCCTGCTACCTGGGCGCGCGCAACCTGGACGAGCCACATGCAGTGAAGCCAACGGATTGCCGACAGCGTCTTCAGCTTGAAACCTCATGTCACCGACAGTCTCCCTGTGCCAATCTCGTGGTGGCCGGTGATCACTAGAGCCACGCCAACCTTGGGATGGCTGCAAAATTCGTTGGCAGCCTGGAGCTACCGAGTCTCAGACCCTCTGTTAGCGGAGGTCCTTTCAGATGGCCGCTGCCGCGGACCTGCCAATTTGCCCTCGACATTTCGGGACTGCGGGCTCAAAAGCTCCCCCCCCCGTGTGGGACAACCTTTGTTGTCGGGCATCGTGCCCGCTGTTGTTGAACCCACTTCGGGCGTCCAAATGTGTGTAGCCCAATCCCATTGTATCGGGCGCAGCCTGGCTGCGACTGGTGGTGTAGGTTTCGGACCCGACGGGCTTTGATCATGGCACCTTGACAGTGGACCACTGCTTGCCAGGCGTTTCTCGTTACGGACGGACGACGTCCGCGGCGACTCGCGGCAACGCATCCTGACGAGAACGGACAAAGACCAACGTAAGCCTTCATCCCCATACTTTCCGTTCCCCTGTTGTATTGCATCCTCGGGGGACCTTGGCTGTCCTGTCGCGACACTATCCGCGTCGAATCCGTGTCGAATCCATGTCGGACTCGTCGGATACGTGTCGAATCCGTGTCGAATCCGCGTCGCATCCACGCCAAATCCGCGTCGAGAACGCATGGGGCCCGCGTCGGGCCCCCCCCAAAAAGACACCAATTTTAGGGACAGGCGAGGTCCCCCGAAGATGCAACAGAACCGCTCTCCTGCCCTTCCGAACGGAAGCGTTTCTTGCCGCGCATCGAGAATCTCGGAGCGGCCTCACCATCGCGAGACGTCCGCGTCCCCACCGCATGTGGAGCACCGAAAACAGTCGGGTCAGCGCCGGGCTCCGAGGGCATCGCTGGAGCGCCACCGGAGCCGCCCGAGCACTGACCTGACCGATCAGCCGTGGAAATCCCACCCAAGGACCACAATTAGCCATCGGGAGCGGCCAAGAGGGGGGTGTCCAAGAGGGGGGGGTGCAACTCATGACCGGCGGCGCGTGCGCGGCCCAGCGGGGGGGCCAGGGACGTAATGAAACAAGAAGAGGCGCCATGATATCCACCCCCCCCTGGTCATCACCCCCCTCTTTTCCGCCCCCGAAGCCAGGTCAGTGCTCTGGCCTCCCGGGCATCCTCGGAAGGCACTCAGCCGACCCAAACGCTAACCGAACCCTTTTCCCGATCTCGAAGCGTAGCGCGGGATCGCCTGCTCCAGCGGTTTCACTGGGCCGCCGAGCCCTGGCATGCGCAAGGGGCGGGGGACGGGCACTGGGCGCCCGCCGCTTGCCTGAAGCAACGCGACGGGGAGGGCGCTCCGCGGGAGCTCCGCGGAAGCGGCACGTTCGTTGCCAACGTTCTGGCAAAGAAGGGGAGAGAGAGAGAGGGGAGAGAAATAAAGAGGGAGAGATAGAGAGAGAGAGAAAGAGAAAGAGAGAAAGAGAGAGTAGAGAGGGGAACACCACTATAATATATATATATATATATATATATATATATATATATATATATATACACATATACATATATATATATATATACACACACTACAACCATCGCGCGCGCTTCGCGCGCTGAGGTTCTAGCAGGCCCCAGACCTTGACGAATTCATTGCTCCACTGAAGTAGTGGACCACAGTCCACGCATGCCAATCTGCATTCCGAAAGGCCTTCGAGCAAAATGGTTGTGTAGGGGGGCGGAGGCCGTATGCATCGGGTTCCCAGAAGGCCGTCTGGGAGCATGGGTTTGGGGGCGTCTCGGGGAGCCTGTTGGAGCGTGCCGTCGTCGTCGTCGTCGTCGTCGTCGTCGTCGTCGTCGTCGTCGTCGTCGTCGTCGTCGTCGTCGTTTCGTCGTCGTCGTCGTCGTCGTCGGTTCAAGAGGGCACTTGGGGCAACTTTGTGCGAAACGATCTGCGGAGGGCCGCGAGAAGGCGATCAGTCATGTTCCCAATCAACTTCCCAGACAGCTCTCCTTTAGCATGATGGTACCTCGAAGCCTCCGGAGACTCGCGGGCCCATGATGAACCATGTCCCCGGAAGGCTTTCTGGGGACATGGTTTGTTGGGTTGTGTTGGGGGTTCTCTTGGGCGTTCCCTGGGGGTCCCTTGGGGGCCTCCGGGAACTCTCGGGCCCATGATGAACCATGTCCCCGGAAGGATTCCTGGGGACATGATTTCTTGGGGTGTGTTGGGGGGCCTCTTGGGCTTTCCCCTGGGAGCCCCTTGGGGGTCTCTTGGAGCTTCCTGGAGGCCTCTTAGGCGCCTCACGGAGCTTCGTGGGAGCCTCTTGGTGGCCTCCGGGGGCCTACAGGCGGCCTCTAGGGCCAGAGACCTCGAAATATCGGTTGGCGGTCCCCCTCTGGGCCCTCTCTTGGGGAGCTCTTGGGACACAGTTGGGTTGTCTGGGGGGCATCCTGGGCCGTCTTGGGGCCCTCTTCCGGGCCTCGTGGCCCGTCTTGGAGCGATCTGAAGGGCCTCCGAGCGAGGCCGTGAGGGAGCGCTGGGAAGCGGGGGAAGCGAGAACGCCTAAATCTTTCAAAAACCATCGGAAAATTAGTGAATCTTGCCTCCCAGGGCCCTCTTGGGGAGCCTCTTGAGTCCATCCTGCAGCGTGTTGGAATCCTCGTCGGCCGTCTTGAGGGCATCCTGGGCGTTTTCGGGGCCTCTTGGGACCGTCTATAGGGCCCTCTCGGGACCTCCATTAGCCTGTCGTGGCCTGCTTCGGGGCGGGCCCGGGCCGCCTCGGGACCCCTCTGGGCCTTCTCTTGGCGCGCTCTTGGGGCACACTTGGGTTGACTGGGGAGCATCCTGGGCCGTCTTGGGGCCCTCGTCGGGGCCTCGTGGGCCTTCTTGGAGCGATCTGAAGGGCCTCCGAGGCCGTGAGGGAGCGCTGGAAAGCGGGAAAAGCGAGAACGCAAAAATCCAAAACACTCGGAAAACGAGCGAATCTTGCCTTCCAAGGCCCCTCTTGGGGAGCCTCTTGAGTCCGTCCTGGAGCGTGTTGGAGTCCTCGTCGGCTGTCTTGAGGGTATATTGGGCGTCTTCGGTGCCTCGTGGCCTGCTTCGGTGCGGGCTCGGGCCGCCTCGGGAGCTCTGGACCCCCCCCGCAACCCCCCGTAGGCACCGATGGGGGGAATAGGCAGCGGCCCCCCCGGGCCTACTCCGAGATAGAGAATCATGTTCCCGGGAAGCTTTCCGGGAGCATGATTTGTTCGGCTGTCTAAGAGGGGGGCTTCTGGGGGCTTACCGAGGGGCGCCTTTTGGCCTTGTCGGCAAGCCTATTGAAAACATGGTTGGGGCGGTGGGCGGAAGCCCAAGGAATCATGTTCCCGGAAAGCTATCTGGGAAATACGATTTACCGAAGTGTCTTGGGAGCCCGCAGGGGGCTTCTCTCGGGGCCTATTGGGGCTTCTGGGGGCTTCTTGGGGCTTCTTGGGAGCCTCATGGGGCTTCTTGGGAGTCTCTTGATGGCCTCTGGGGGCGTCCTAGGAGCCTCTTAGGCCAGAGACCTTGGAATGTCGCGCTCTTCGGGCCCTCTTGGGTCGCTCTTGGGGCTCTCTTGGAGCGCTCTCGAGGCCCTCTTGACTTATCTGGGGAGCCTCCTGGGCCGTCTCTGGGCTTTCTTGGGAGCCTCTTCGGCCGTCTTGGAGCGATCTGAAGGGCCTCTGACGCGGTCGGAGACCGTGGGGAGACGGAACATGGGAGAGCGCAAGAACGCTTCGAAAACCAGTGGAACATACATGATTTTCGGCTTCTGGGGCCCCTTGGAGGGGCCTCTGGAGGCGCTCTTGGAGCGTTTTGGCGGCGTCGTCGGTCGTCCTGAGGCCATCTTCGGCATGTCCGGGGCCTCTGGGGGCTCTAGGGGGCCCTGGGAACCCGGAAATCGTGTTCCCGGAGAGGCTTCCGGGAACATGATTTCGAACGGGGCCCTCCCTGAGGCCGTATTGGGGGCATCCTGGGCTGGCTGCGGGGCTGGCCGTCTCGGGGGGTTCCGTGAGCCCCACAGGCCGACCCTTTTGGGCCGTCTGGGGCCCTCTTGGGTCTCTCTTGGGCTGTGTTGGGGCTTCGCGAGGGCGTCTGGGGCACTGTGAAAACGTTGAAAATGTACGTTTGGGGCGTCTGGGGCGCGAGCCAGCGAGCATGTTGAAAATGTACGTTTTACGAGGGAAATGGGCCGATGTTTGCCTCTTGAAGGCCCTCTTGGGGCCCTCTTCGGCCATCTTCAAGCCATATCGGGCCCTTTTGGGCCCTGCTGAAGCTGTAAGGCGCCCTGGGGGCCCGGAAGTCATGTTCCCGGAGAGGCTTCGGGGAACATGATTTCGAACGGGGCCCTCTTGGGCCTCCCTGAGGCCGTCTCGGGGACCTCCTGGGCCGGCTTTGGGGCCTCTTGGGCCGTCTTGGGGGGTTCCGTGAGCTCCTCGGGGGCATCTGGGGCACTGCGAAGACGAAGCCAGCGAGTATGCTCAAAATTTACGTTTTACTAGGGAAATGGGCCGATGTTTGCCTCTTGAAGGCCCTCTCGGGGCCCTCTTCGGCCATCTTCAAGCCAGCTCGGGCCCTCTGGCGAGGCTGTCCTGCGGGCCTCTTGGGCGTCCTCGGAAACCGGAAATCATGTTCCCGGAGAGGCTTCCAGGAACATGATTTCGAACGGAGCCCTCTTGGGCCTCCCTGAGGCCGTCTCAAGGGCCTCCTGGGCTGGCTTTGGGGCCCCTTGGGCCGCCTCGGGGGGTTCCGTGAGCCCCACAGGCCGACCCTTTTGGGCCGTCTGGGGCCCTCTTGGGTCTCTCTTGGGCTGTGTTGGGGCTTCGCGGGGGCGTCTGGGGCACTGTGAAGACGAAGCCAGCGAGCATGTTGAAAATGTACGTTTTACGAGGAAAGGGGCCGATGTTTGCCTCTTGAAGGCCCTCTTGGGGCGCTCTTGGGCGTCTTCGGGGCCTCTTGAAGCTTTTGTTGACCATCTGTACGGCCCGCATGGCCTGTCGTGGGCAATTTGGAAGCGGCCCGGGGCAGTCCCGGGGGGTCTGTGACCTCCCAAAGGTTCGGGGGGGCGGTCATTGGGGATGACGGCACCGATTTTGCCCCCCCCCCCCCGGCCTGCTCACACACACACACACACATACACACACACACACACACACATATATATATATATATATATATATATATATATATATGTGTGTATATATACACATACACACACACGTATGAATGTATGAATGCATGCATGCATGCATGTGTGTATGCATGCATGTGTGTGTGTGTGGATGTACTCATGTATGGACGTATGTAGTTATGTATGTACGTATGCCTGCATGCATGCAAGCATGTGTGTGTATATGTGTGTATGTGTGTATATGTGTATGTGTGTATGTATGTATGTATGTATGTATGTATGTACGTATGTACTTACGTGTGTATGTGTATGTGTGTATGTGTGTATGTGTGTATGCATGTATGTATGTATGTATGTATGTATGTATGTATGTATGTATGCATGCATGTCTACATGTATGTCTACATGTATGTATGTCTGTCTGTCTGTCTGTCTGTCTGTCTGTCTGTATGTATGTATGTATGTATGTATGTATGTGTGTGTATGTATGTATGTATGTATGTATGTATGTATGTATGTATGTATGTATGTATATGTGTATGTATGTATGTATGTATGTATGTATGTATGTATGTATGTATGGATGTATATATGTATGTATGTATGTGTGTATGTATGTATGTATGCATGCATGCATGCATGCATGCATGCATGCATGCATGTATGCATGTATGTATGTATGTAAGTACGTACGTACGTACGTACGTACGCACGCACGCACGCACGCACGCACGCACGCATGCATGCATTATGTATGGATGTATGTGTGTATGTACGCACGCACGCATGCATGCATGTATGCATGTATGTATGCATATCGGTGCACGTATGTATGCGTGCATGCATGATTGCATGTTCGTATGTATGTGTGTATGCATGTGTGGTTGTATTGCATGTTCGTATGTATGTGTGTATGCATGTGTGGTTGTATGTATGTGCACATGCATGCATGTATGTGTATATATATATATAGACTAGAACCACGCGCGCGCTTCGCGCGCGCTTAGGTTCTAGCTAGGAGGCGAGCTTGAGTCAACGAAAGTCGCAGCGAAGGGGGCAGGGGAAGAAGGCCAGAGAGCGCTGAAGGACCTCGTCCGGCCGTTCGCTGGGAGTTTGACGTAGCTTCTCGGGAGCCTCTGAACCTGTCGAGGGCCTCCTGGAAGCAGGTTCGAAGCATTTTGGGGGCCGATTTGGGGCTTCTCGGGGCCTCCTTTGGGCCTCTTGGGGTCTCCTGGGGCCTCTTGAGGGGCTCCTTGGGGCCTCCTGGCGGCCTCTTGGGGCGGAAGGCTC